TGATCATTTACAAGTGGCTGATTTGATTGATTCTTTATTGAGTAATAAGATTCACCATTTTCTCTAGATTTTGTTGACAAGCGTGGCTCCAAAGTTAAAAAAACATCAACAGAAGACCTTCACAAATTTTATGAAATGTCTGATGAATCTGATAAAGGTATGATAAACAATTACTGCAAGACGAATAAGTGAAACCAGCCCTGTCTCTAGCTCCACCTCAATAGTCAAAAACTATAAAATTAATATCCTTATTTTTCTCTCATGTTTTATAGAAGTGGAAGAAAATGAATTAAAACTGCAAAAGAAAATCCAAAAAGAACTAGCAGGGGAAGATGTTGTCAAGAGGTAATGTAACAATATCCCTTATATTAATATTTTCACTAGCTTGTTTACTAATTCATCTAGTGTATAAATGATCCAGGCTGGAGTGCATGTAGTTGAAAAGATCTATGGTCAGTGACTGACACTTTCAAAAACCTGACCTTGAGGTTATCTGCAAAGTTAGGGGACTCCATGACTTTTAACAAGACCAAAATTTAATTCTTATTTATAGCAATGCCTCTTAAGATTACCTTCAGCTGGATTGCATGTACATGTATCATACTGGAAAAAGCAATGAATGAGATACTCCTTGGAGTATTTTGCAAAATTATTGTTTTCAGGGGTTATACAGTACCATAACAGTGACATGCAATGCATTAAGTTAACATCAACCCCTAATTATTATATTCATGGTGTACATTATATGCACAGTTAACTTATCGGGTGTGGATCTAGAATAAAGGGTGACTGGTTTCCGAAACAATGAGCGCCGAAGGCACAAGTTTCTTTTACATGTAATTCTGTCAATCTGTGAGTTTTTCCCTGATGATTGCAGAAGACTTCCTACTGTATGACACATACATTTTTACAGCCTTAAGGCAAATCAGGGTCATTCAAGAATTTTTTTCTTTCAGTAAAGCAAAGAAGGAAGAAAAACTTGAGAAGAAGGGCAAAAAGGTTAAGGGAAAAAAGAAGCCTCAGAAATCCCACAGTGGTGAAGAAGAAAGTTCTGATGAAAATACTTCCGATGTGAAACAAGCTAAACAAACAAAAGGGAGGCATCAAGATGATAGCCATGTTAGCTCAGAAGAAGAGGTTGATGTCAGTAGAGGAGAGGGCGACATGCAGTCATCATCTGATGAGGAAGACGCAGAAAATCTCGGATTTGAAATAACACAGGTTTGGACTTTACTACAATGTACACCATACCATTATGACTTGGCTCAAAAAGGTGCCATCTGGTGATCATTCTTCTTCTGGGCAAGTAACTTTCCATTCTCACTTGCTTGATGGACAAGGGATCAGGCAAGTCATCTGCCTAGTAAATCATTAGAAAAGCAAACTAGACTTGCCCAGGGCAAGTGAAATTTTAGAGCTATAGGTACTTGTCCCAGGGGAAAGCTGAAATTTAAGTTTTTTCGAGCCCTGTTGGGACTTAAACATCTCATATCTATTGTAAGGTCCTTCCCACCTTGAAAGTTCTGGAAAAGCATCCAGAGTTGAAAGTTTGCACAGGTGAAGGTTTTCCCTTATTTCAGCTATCTAAAGTAGTTAAGATATGAACTGCATTAATGCCACGCAATCCATCTCTGTAGCAATATGCATAGCATTCGTTCTGCTTAAAAAATATTCCTGACTGTTGCAGGAAGATATTGAACACCCTTGGGGTGAAATGGATGTTTCAACCAAAACTACTGAAGCTGCAACAAGACGTCTTGCTGTGTGTAACCTTGACTGGGACAGAGTGACAGCAACTGATCTGTTTGGTGGGCAATCTTGCGATATTATGACACTGCATTTGCAGTATACTTTACACGTATACTGAATCATAAGTAATCCTGTAAGAAACCTACCACAACTTAGTTTGTGTAGAGCATTAATATACCAGGTTGATATGAGGTGGTTGGGAAAAAGGCAATGTTTCCTCTGCCCAATCTCCCAAGACAGTCAAATGTACAATACTGGACTTAATGCAGTTTTACATGTACAATCAGCTACAATTGTCAACCTTCAGATCTAATCTCTGTTGAATCAAAATGTATTTGAGGTAAAAACTTACTTAAATAAGGTATTTTACATGGAAATACAGAGCTCAAGACTGTTACTGATTCTATTCCTAAAACTTGCGATCAATGGTTAATGCAGTTGATGGCTGTTAGCAGCATCTTTTTAACTTGTTAATGAATTCAATTCTTTTACCCTTTTAACAGTTTTGTTCAATTCCTTTAAACCAAGAGATGGTGTTATTGAGTCAGTCAAGGTAATAATGGATACTAGTAAGATAGTATTGCATATAATATTTAGTCATGAAGTTACATAATAAGTGATATTTTATTGTTTATAATTAATAATACATTACTATAAATTTTGTACAGTATGTACTTCAGGTGTGCTAAAATTGTCATTTTGATTTACGCAATTTAACAGTTGTTACTAGGTGGGTGGCATATTGACGTACTGGTTAGTACAGTAGAGTATGGTCGTGTCAGATGGACAGTATAGTTCTTGGGTTGTGCTCTTAAGAGAAACACTTGACCCTCTCAATGTCTCTCACAAATGTAAATGGTTACTTGTTAGGGAAACTTGACAAATAAGCTGAATGCAGACAATGATGGAGTATTTTTATTAGTATCCCATCTAGAGGGACTAACTTACATGTACATTACTGAAAGATGATTACTAGTCCATACTGCGCACTCTCGAGAGTTTGTTTGCATTTTTTTGTTTCGTTCCATGTAAGTCATCACAAAATGTAAACATTTTNACAATGATTCATCTGAAGATGAAGACAAGAAGATTGAGAAGTATAAGGTCAGCCAAATATGTTTGTGACCGTTTTCAAATTCTGTTAAAGAGGCACCGCCAACTTTATATTTTTTATCACAATTTCAAAAAGTTCAAAGCATGCCCAGATCACTGGGAACCCAACAATAATGGTGTGATTTTGTAGAACAGTACTGAACTGAAAATGCGAGATGCGAGATAGAAAATGCGAGATGCAAGATAGCAAATGTGAGATGCGAGATAGAAAATGTAAGATGCAAGATAGAAAATGCGAGATGCGAGATAGAAAATGCGAGATACGAGATAGAAAATGCGAGATGCGAGATGCTAAATAAAAGATGCAAGTTGCGAGATAAGAATTGTGACTTATAGATATAAAATAAGAGTCGCGACATAAAGAAAAATGCGAGATGCGAGGTAGAAATTGCGATATGCGACGTAAAAATGTGAGGCTCGTGAATATAACATGGAAGTGGCCTATAAACCATGGATAGCCTCACTACTGGTTAGTTACACTGTTTCCACAGTGTTTGTAGACATAGGTTTAGAATTCTTGGCACACTATAAGACTTTCCAAAATTTTAACTAAAAGCGCATTTTAAGCATTTGTGAACATACCATGGCAACAGGAACTTTTGAAGGAGATTCAAGACAAAGAGCGCAAGTCAGACAGGGATCAAGAATTAGAGATCACTTGGGAACCAGGCCTGCGAGAAACCACGGAGGATCTGGTAACTAGTAAGATGAAAGAGAAAGAGAGGAAAGAGATGACGCCATGGGAATCTTATCTGCAAACTAAAAAGGAAAAGAAGAAAGAGAAACGAAAGGGAAAAGAGGCCTCAAAGATCAAGTGAGTCGACAAATGATTGCTGTTCTCATCTTTTAGTTTGACTGAATGACGATTCACTTTATCAGTAATTGATTTCCAAAGATACCCTTCAGGGCCGGGCTGTTCAAAGCGCAGTTGAGCTGACCCATCGTTAGCGAGAATTTTGACTCAAATTTGCAACTTGTCGATGAGGTTTTCTGTTTATTGGTTGTCCTACAGTTTAAAGTTTCAATAATCTCAAACTATACAAAACATAAGAAATGAAAAACATTTTTATCTTTTATCCTGTGTTAGCGTTAACGGGCTTTCGAACAGCCCAGCCCAAGTGTACTTTCTTGTCGTAGCACCTGTCAATGTATGTTTATGGTACTCAAAGCTTTGTATTGTATCAAAGGAACGTTTGGTCATAGCATCAAAGCGCCTGAGAGTGCGATCTCTGCCTGTTTCTCTTACGTTTTGTTCTTGGGCAAGACAGTTTGCGGTCTCCCTCCTGAGAATCCTGACAAGGAGAGAAACCTGTTACTGACCTGTTATTGACTACCGGTATCATTTCATTCAGGGGGTAGGGGGTGGGGATAGCAGTATTTGTCCATTCCCATCGGCTACAAGCAACCAGCAGCCTAGACCATTTGACCTGTGTACCCACAGATAGCCCAAGCTCGCAAATAAGCGTCCCTGTACATTCAATAGTACTCAGGTTACGCATCAGACGAAATATATGGATTTGCATGGGAAAAACATTTAAATTCTGAAGCCTTAAAAAATACGAAGAAGTATGCATAAAGATCAACCTACCTTGCTTGAGGTGTGTGTTTCCTTGGTTCCTGTGAGGTTTCTGGGCTCAGTTATGACAATTTAGGTGGGTTTTAGCTTCACTGTTTTGTCCTCTATAGGCGCGCTCATTTGCGAACTTGGGCTACCTGCCGTGTACCCTCTCCTTTCTGCGTCTGTCCAGAAATAGAATGAATTTAACTTTTTTTGTTGTCATTTTGGCTTTTAGTTCCACGGCGAATGAATCTGATGAAAGTGACGAGATTCCTTCTGACGTTGATTTATCAGATTCTTTCTTCAGTCAAGAGATTAATGCTGGAATAAGTAATAAAAACAAAACTAACAAGGTATCCACAGGCAAAACAAAGAAAAAACGAAAAGGAACAGCACCGGAAACTGAAGAGGACAGAAAGGCAAAGGTGAGGAGAAATCACTCGTTTATAGATAGTTTAGCCTTACATATAAGGAACGGAAATGGTTATTGAGAATAACACATAAGCGCTTCAGCCTTGGACTTGTGAAGTTTATCCTCAAATAATCAGCTCTACGCTTCCAGCAGATGTTGAGTTAAACTCGAGAAGAACATAACTAATATAGACTCTTTGGACGATTTTCCGAAGACTTCCGAGCATTCCCCGAAAATTTTCGTAAAATACCGAAGGTCATTCGTTAATGATCATTTCCGAAGATTGCGATAAATTCTGAAGAATGCATTGCTGAGAGACGGTTTCCAAAGAGGATCTAAAGAGGTTTCGACAATACCCCAAGACATTTCAGTTCATTTACCGTTTAGAAAGTACAATAAATACGATAGTAAAAGATTTTTGACGTCTGTTTTACAAAGTTCTGATGGGTTTTCTTTGGCTTGACCAATCAAAATACCGAGACAGAAATGTCGATGGCCACGTGCAACGGCACTTGCCCAAATTTGGAGATTCCAGCGCAAACCAGTAGAAAGTTATCTAAAGACGTCAAAAATAGATCAAACAATTTACTTAGTGGCAACGAGTATGGTACGCATTACGCGTGTTTTTGATTGCTATGCAGTCAACCTCTCCAGTACGGCCACATTGGGAACAGCGGAAAGTGGCCGTTGTAGACCGTTTTTTTTTTCTTGGGGTTCAACATTTTTATCTTCAAAAAGTGCTTAGAGTAGCATGTAAATACGTAACACAGTCAAAATATATCAATAAGACAGAAACCAAACAAAAACAGAGACCAAACTCGCGCGGCACGGATCAAGTTTGGTGACCTTTTCCGATAAAAAAATGAGGTTTTGTATTCACAGTTCGTCAGTTGTTGATAAACTGGCCGCTGTCGAGGGGTTATTTTGGTAGTTTGGGACGCGATTTAGTGGCCGTTGACGTTGTAGAGAGGTGGCCATTAGTGGAGGTTCGACTGTAATTTTCTATTCAACATTATTTGTTCGTAATTTCAGGAGGAGCTTGAATTACTTTTAATGGACGAAAAAGATGATCGCCGGCATTTCAGTCTAAAAGGAATAATGGAGAATGAGAAGAAAAGCAAAAAGAAGCGAAAAAGAAAAGCGAAAGACGAGGAAGTTGTGGACGACAGTTTTAACGTCGACTTAGAGGATTCTCGGTTTGACGCGCTGTTCACCTCACATCATTTCGCTGTAGATCCGTCAGATCCGCAATACAGGTATGATGAGTATAATAAATCTCCTTACTAGTTCGTAGTTGATTTAAGCTTCATGCGTAGGAGAATTTAAAATCTATCAAATTTGAAGTTGGGAGGCGCGCTGGCGCAAGGATTAGAGTCGAGATTTCTTCCACAAGATAACCAGAGCTAACTCCGCGGTGCCAATAATACACCAAAAGGGGAGAATTTTTTAGAATTTTGGCCATTTTCTACTCTAATCGGGCCTTCTGTTTCTTTGTGGAAACGCAAAAGGTGACAGATTTGAAGGTTCCATAAATAAACTAAATATGTCCTTAAAGGAGCTGTTACGGTATTTTGAGTTATTTTGGTGGTGTACAGTAGTACCTTTAAATTGAAGGAAACCTGAAAATAGTAGTTTATTAAGATAGAAAAACACCAAAGAGATAATAATAAACCATAAAGGAACAGGGATGGTTGAGGATGGAGAAGATTTTCACGGATTACAAACAACGCACTTGAAAAGTCTAGGCTAAACTTTTTAAGATGAGTAAACCGTGACGTGGCTCCTTTAAGACTAACAGTCAGTCTTCGTTGACAGGAAAACGAAGGCCATGGAAACGATCATAGAGGAGAGACAAAAGAGGAGAGAAAAAACAGACAACACCCAGACGAGACACGAGAGAGGTGACCTTGACTTGAATGCACAGCACCTGTGTGTTCAAAAAAACTCATGTGCCTTTTGAGATATTTTACGGGACTCTCACAGCAGAGCCTTGTAAATAATCTTATCTCAAAAGAATTATGTATGCTGAGAATGGCTGGTCTANTTCTAAGCGCTTTACAAAAGCAAAAAATTGCAAAAAAGTAAAAATTTAAGTGTGAAGTTTAAGGGCCACATTCCCCCCTGTGGAGGGAAGGTTATAGAGGATATTACATGCCCTCGCGGAGATAAGAAATTTCTCTTCGAGTGAACACGAGAAGAGAAATTTCATATTTACAAGCAGCTATGTACTGTTCTATTTATTATATAAACACCAATGAAATACCAAACCAATAGATTTATCATGTAACCATAGCAACGGTGATCTTTTCACTTGTGAAGATAACATGTTATTTTAACGTTTGAAGATATACGTTTTCGCGCGAAAGCTCACCGGGCATTTCATTGGTGTGCGTGGTCAATGTTTTTAACATCGAGGCTCTTGTTTTGTCACTCTACTTCCATATAACGTTACGTTTTTTTTTCCTAGCTTGTCGCTGCTTGTTAAGTCTGTCAAGTCGAAAACAGGACAATTTCACGAACAGAAGAAGAAAAAGAAAGTAAAGCACGCGTGAAAGGCTCGGAATGATACGCTGACATCGATACTGCTTAGCGCCACTGGCATCCTCCCAGTTCCTGCTCCGTCAAGTCACTTGGTGCGAACACTGGGACCTGAATTCTTTACGTGGACCTTACAAATGAGCCCGCAGTCTCCGAGAAAGGTGTTGCTAAGTAACATATGTACGTCGGACCTCGTGATTCAAGAATACGATTCGGAAACTCTTCAGTAGCGTAAGCGAGGATAAAGCCGGCTGGAAGTGACTGGAGAGTTGTTCTCGTCTTGTTTTTAAAATCTTTTATGCCTTGCCTGGTCTGTAAACCTGCGAGTTTCCTACTGTGCGTTCCCTCCGCATTGTGCACTTTTTGTTTTCCTGCATTTTTAGTGAGTCATACTCCATCTGCTACGTGCCTTCCCACGCGTATTTCGTGTTGCGTCCAGTCATCAGTTCAAGTCGTAGCGCCGTCTACATTGTATATTTTCCAGAAATTTTGCGAGTGTTGAGGTACAAGAACGTCCTAATAGACCATTTTACAGTCGTCTGCTCAGTGACCTGGCCTTTGAATGGCAGCGAGGCTGGAGGTGACGGCCGGTGATCTTGTTTTGATACAGACCTCACTACTTTTGTTGTGTAAATCAAGTTTGTTATAATTGCTAACTAGTTGGCATTTAAATGAGAAAAGCAGAGAGGTTTGTATCAAAGCAAGGTCACCTCCAGCCTTGCTTCCATTTACAGGCCAAGTAGATGAGCTGACCAAATTTCCTTAGTTACTCCTCTGAGACCAGCTAGTATTTGCAAGAGGTGTTTTCCAAGTAATTATGCGCCCGTTGATCAAGGTGTGATGTGACCGCGTATCTGTGGTGCGCACAGATTGAAAGAGCAGGGTATGGAATAGAAAGAAAGACGAGAAGATTCTTTAAAAACACTTCCGTAAACACGTCTCGTTTAAGTCTCTTTATAAGAAATGTTATTACATTTCGTCTACAAATAATAATAAAATAAATAATCTTCTGTATGTAGCTAACTATATGCATCAGTGGACGTTTTGTTTTTCAAAGCGTGGAGTGGTGAAAACCTGTTGCCAGTATCCACTCAACCTATATACATTTGCTCACAAACCTTTCAGTTTCTCTCTGAAATATCCGCACATCTGCGGTGAATGTTATTTTTTAACAATGTAATAAGAGCTGGTAACAAATGCACGTTACAGCTGACGTTGGTACTTGTTGAATGATATAGTGGTCCTTGACGTGACATTCTCATTTTTCTTCCTTGTCTACAAATAATGCGTGACAGGCTTATGTCTGATTGAGTTTCATTATCTGCGTACCTCTTCATAGTTTGCGTTAACGCCTGTACGTTTCATTGCAGTTTCTCTGCTTTCCTTTTCTGTCACGCCACAATTTGTTCGTCACGAAATGCTTGTTTCCATTGTCACAGTGTACTTCAATCTGCGTTGATCTACTGCGGAACAGATTTTCTATTCACTGCTTTACCTGGCGTGACAGGCCTTCCACCAGGACTTCGAGATCCCGCTGAACTTGTGCCCCCTCTCTTGGCCACACCAGGAGACGCGCGGGATTTCGTCCCGGTAGTGCCTCCAGTGGCCCGCGAGGATCCCGAACCGGATGTTTTAGTTCCTGTTCCGGTTCCTGTTCGAGTTCCTGTCTTCGAAGTCCCAGTACCGGAATTCGTAATCGAAGAACGTCGTCGCCCAGTTGTCTTTGATTCATCCAGCTTAACGTCCTTACCGACAATCAAGTTATTCGTTTCGACGAAATTTATCATCCATTCTGGCATTTCGCCGTTTTTCGATTTCTGTTTGGGTTTCTTTTCTTGCTTTGGTGACGCCTGGGGGCTTGGGGATAGCCTCGAGCTGCCTGTTGACGAAGAGGTGATCTGATCGGCGCACGTGGAGGGTGGAGTGGGGGTGCCAGGGCCGAAAAACTGAAAAAAAAATACGACAAAAAGAAATCTTACTTGTTCATACTAGGCATTGATGGGGATTTGGTTACGCTAGCGTCACGCCAAGTTCAAATAGGAAGGTCACGCCAGTGTAACACCATGCTAAAAGGATAAAGTCATGCTATGTTATTGACATCTTCTATGATATTGAGTTACCGGGTCATTCTCGGCATTGATGAGATAAGGGATTTAGTCACGCTAGTGTCACGCCGTGTTCAAAAAGTGTCACACCATGTTTAGGTATAAGGTCACGCTATGTTCTTGTCATGACGACGAATCACCACTATAGAAGTGTCAGCAACATAAGCAACAACTGATCTGATCGTTACAGCGCTTTTAACAAAAACTTACCTCTACCGCAGGTATCTTCACGCCTGGTGACCTTTCCCCGCTGCTTTCACTTCCAGGTCGCAATCTGTTTAATGGACCGACCGCGTTTTGACTAAACCGCGGGCTCCCAGACCTACCCAAATAACGAGCAGAGTATGGCCTGGGTTCCAGTGATATTCCACTGCTTGGTCTTCCTGTAAAAAACAAACGCGGAAATTTCTTCAAACAAAACATTGCTTCTAACAAAAGAAATGCTTCAGAAAATCTAATGCCAAAACAATGCAAATAGAACAACAAAGCCAAAACGCTGAATTTGATTAGCTATCAAGGCGAGGAAGTTTGCGATGTTGCGTTGCATAGTTTGTCTACTCTCCTTAATGTGAATGGTACAAAAAGAAACCAAAACGCACGATTTTGTGAGCACTTTGTCAAGTATGGATAAAATAGCACATTGTATTCACCATAAGTACGTAAGCACCATAAGTGTAAGAAGACGCCCTGTTTTCTTTGAACATCCTTACCAAAGGTTAGTCTGAATTATGGTCCTTTCTTTATGGTCCTTGACGGTCCTTTCTTTTCAGCGGTGCAAGGATTTTTAATGAAAATTCCGTTAAACATTACCAAGAGCGAAAACTTACAGATGTTCTGTCGCGGAGCAAGAAATTTCTTTTATAATAACAAAAGTACTATTTGAAAACTTTATTTATAATTTTGTTAGTTGGTTGTAAATGTTCTTAAATTTTATTATTGTATTTTAGGTTTATAACGTTTTAATACAGGACCCCTAAGGAGACCAGCCTTACAGCTGAATAGGCTATACCCAGTGTAAATAAAGTTTACTTACTAACATGAACTGGAGTCTCACTATGTAACGGGCTTGCCGAGAAAACACTGAGTTTATCTTATTACTGCTACAAAGAGAGATTACAGCTATTCCTTGTTTTCAAGTGAGGTTTCTGGTGGAATTCACGAGTCTGGCAGCTTAGTTTTCTGAACAGCTCGTCTGAGAGGGCGACATCATTTTAAGTGATACCATATTCTCAAAAGGTTGACAGCTAACAAACTTGCACGGCGTGAAAAGATAACCGTACTCACCTTGGTTAATGTCTACAAGTTCATGATCTTCGCTGATTGGACATTCCCTGGACACAAGAAAAAACCATTGTGATGAAACATCTGCTACAAAATCCACTTCAATTTTAAAAAAGTTCCCTATCTGTTAAATAAGCAACATCACGGTTTGGGCATCTTAAAAAGTTCAGCCTAAATTTTTCAAGTTCGTCGTTTGTGATTCGTGTTAATCTTCTCCATCCTCAACCATCCTTGTTCCTTTGTGGTTTATTATTATCTCTTCAGTGTTTTTCTATCTTAGTAAACTACTATTGAGGTTTTCTTCAAATTAAAGGTAATTTTGTACGTGCCCAAAATAACTCAAAATAACGTGACTGAGCTCCTTTAAAAATGCTGAAGTTTCATGTACTTTACCTCATTGAGTCATCGTCAATGCCAAATCTAAGAGGACCCTACAAAGAAGATTATGGCCTTTTTAGTTCCTCAAAATGTCAATTCTCATTACTGACCGTCATACATTTCTTGTTATGTTAGTTCTGAGAATTTGGTATTACGTCAAGACAGTCTCCCCTAGTTGATGATTGTCTTTATTCTCATCACCTGTTTGCTTGACAATGTATTGATATTGTAAAGAGACATAAGATTACATGGCAGCATAGTTATAGAGGGAAACAGTTATGAAATCCGGTAAACATCAGGGAAGCAAATAAACAGGATAAGATTTATGTTGAAAGGTCTTTGACCCTGCACGTCTATTGTTTTATGCTCACAGACTATGCATGAATCAGATAATCGGAATGCTTCTATTTGTTAGTTCTATGAGCACACATATCCACCTTTTGTATTTTGCCTTGTGTATTTTGTGTAGGGTCAACCCCCAAAATAGCCAACAAAAACATGCAAGAAAGAACTTTGCCAGGTTTCATAACTATTTCCTTCTGTTAACTATGATGGCATTGTAGCCTTTGTCGGGCCTGTCCAATGGACCATTTCCTGCTCGTCTGCTCATTTGTGAGTGCTGACCAAAAAGATTCGAATGTGCACTTGTAACGCATTACCAATTATTACAAAGGTTTTCAGTACCAGTTTCTTTGATCGTAATCCTGTTGGTGTTCTGAGTTCTGCTCTCATGATGTTGTTCAATTCACGTAACTGAAATAAGAATAAACAAGATTGAAACCAAAATACCGACAACAACAAGTGTTGTTCTTTATACTTCTCACTCCTACATTAGAGCGGTTTTCGTAAAACCAAAACCAAAGTAATCACTCTAGCCAATCACAAAGGACACAGAAAATCTAATGAACCAATCAAAATTCGAAAACAAAAATACGTGCAGCTGACACGAAGCGCAGGAAATCGTGTGCGAGCAAGTCACGATTGGTTTTGGTTTTATCTCTGATTGGATGAAAAAGTGGCGCGAGTTTTTTAAACCAATCGCGTATCGTGGTAATGCAAAAGCAATTACTTTTCAAAACTCAAGTGACAACCGCTCTAAAGTGTTATTCGGAATAAACACCGAAAAAGCTATGAAATGTCAGCAAAAATCGTTAAGGAAGTCAAATTCTGGTACCTCTTCTGCGTTCATTACGGTCATGTCGCCAAGAATCTCTCTTCTCCAGTCTCCCGTTTTCTTCAGTTTCATCTGACACAGAATCATAAAGCAAATGTCAGAATCATATCTGGAAAAATTACTCAAAAGTTGATATAACGTTTAATCAAAATAGCTCGAGATCGATACATACCCTTCCCCGTACTGCAGGAGGTGTTCCTCTACAAAAGGCATTAAAATAGCGACTATTAGAGCTCATATTATGATTAACAGATGAAATTATGGCAAAAAATTGACACCGAGCAGCCTTGTCAATGGTGCTATCTTTGCGCGACTTGATTTAACTGCATCTACCACATCTGTATCTTAAATTTATACTATACTATTTCATACTCTGCCCAACAGTCACAAAACTGAAACAAAAAAGACTTAGTTACACTCGAAAGTTACTGGAAAACTGCTGGAAGAATTAAAAAAATGTGTTCTACTTACGGGCCCTGACTTCCAAATGTAGACGCCCTTTCGCGGAAGAAAGAATTTTCTTTCCGGTTCAAAGACGAAGAACTTTTTTCTTTTACAAGATCATGGACCTAAAGTTGACACACAAAATAAAGTTTTATAGACAAATTCTGTTTTCTAGTCTAAGTATGTGTAACATAAATTCTTCCAACCAGCAGAATCTTTTCGGTAGAATTTAACGATAAAGATACAAAGTCCACTTTCTGTCTTTTTAGTGTTAACGCCCTTGATCCTTATGACATGCGCATGCGTGATCTCTATGAAACTGTCACTGAAACAAAATTTTACAATCTAAGAATTTTTTTCAATAGTAAAGTTTGAACCTTACTAACAAGCACATTCAACTTGTTTCGGAAGAAAAAATCCCGAGAAGTCATTCGTTAGCCGTTCGAGGTCGGATCATTAAGTTCAAAATTGTCCGCCATCATAGTGCGACCGAAAGAGAATATGATCGTTAAATTTCCTGTCTACATGCCTTATTGGCATTTTCGTCGTCGTTCGCAGCTTGCGGGGAGGGGGCTCCTCCTCCACCCTCCCCTCCCACAGTAGATCTTCTTTGCTTGCGTTTTCCATACTCTGGCACTGCCTTTACTGTTCTCAAGATCACGTGAGATGCTGCGAATCGGAAAAAGAAATAACTTTATCACGCTTTTGCAAGAGGTCACCACAGTTCTTGGAACAGTTATCTAGACTGATAGTGTTCGGTGCATGTTTTTAATAAAGTGACGGTTTAGTTTTGGTGGCAAATGGTGCAATAAACCAATCGGAAGTTTAAAAGTAAACCATGTAAGTACTGGTAAGCGCAAGAATAGCAACTGGCGAAAAGCGCGGGAAAACATGCAACTGGCGACAAACGCGGGAAACATGAAACCAATGACAAACGCGAGAAAATATGCCAACATGAGAAAATGGAATGATTTGGTTTGGTCTTGTACCTGGCCAAGAAGACCATAGTTGTACCCTAATTGGTTAAATCGCACTACACTAGTTTCTTGCACCAATCAAAACACCTAATGGTATAAAACGAAGCAAAGCTACAGCTATGCCTACATGATAAAGAATCTCTTTAGTCTTACCAGGAAACCAGCCAACTTTATTCTTACAGCGTCCATGCCACCAGTCATCTTTCTACGATTAAGTAAAGACAAGACCTAAGAATACATTCGAGCCTCCCTGTGTACCCACTCCTACTAAGCGACCATCTTCTTCTATACCAAAAGTTCCCTGTCGAAACACTTAAGTCAAAACACCAATAAAATATAACTTGAAAATCGACAACAAAAAAATCTAAAAATCAAGTGTATACAAAGTCTTCAAAGTCAAACTGATTTACAAATATTTTCTATAANTCAAATCATAGTAAATTATTTTGATATTTCTCTAGACAGACACTCACCCTTACGCTTCCAAACAAACTGCTGGCGACACTGTGTATCATATGAACAGCTTGATGTTTCACTGTAGTCTGTGAGAAGAGAAGTATTAAATTGGCAACAATCTTTACAATAAATCAATTACAGTCAAGTCGACTAAAGCCTTCCACGGCCGACAACTTGATCATGGTCTAAGTCACATTCAAACACTACATTTATAAATTTCCAAAAGCGAACACCTTTTCTTAAAGTGGATAAGTTTTCTGGTCCCAAGGCATCCACATGCTAAAAGGGGCTCTGACCATAGACGTAAGATGACATAACATTATTCTATACAAGAAGAGACATGTCTATGTCAGCTCGTTCGAACTTCTGTTTTACTGGTCAAAATAGACAAAAAGAAAACACAGGAATTAGACAACGTCTTTTCAGTTAAAAACGCGTTAAGATAGACGGGACCCCGAGACGAGAGCCAGAAAGTTCCACAAAGTTCCACGGGATCGACAAAGCTCCACGAGGCTCCGAGACGAGAGCTACGAAGTTCGACGAAGTCCCCAGACGAGAGTCACGATTGATAACCCGATCGTTTCACGCCAGACTACCGAAACTAGAAAAAGCGGTTTATAACTTAGTCGTGAAGGAATGAGAAAAGGAATACTACATACATCTGTTGTGGAAGGTCTCGGGTCTGAGGGCTGTCTCTCCATGGGTCTGACTTGATGCTGATCCTCGTCCACTGTACCAAGCTTGTTAAAAGCTTCAATAGCAATGGCTACAAACAAACTGGTAAAACAAACAAAAATACAATGCCATGGATTAGATTACAATGAAACGTGTGACATTTAGCCATATCTGACTGTGTGTATTTCCATTTATTCACCGCCGCGGGTCATCTCACTGATTAGAGAATATGCGGGTTCCATCTGCAACGACAACAAAACTTCCCTAGCTTTTCCCGATTTTCACTGATTAAATGAAGAATTCTTCAACTTTACCTCTCATGCAGAAAAATATAAACATCCTATGATATAAAATATCATAATTATAACAAAGGGGTAAATTTATGAAGTATCAAAAAGTGAACAAAGAACTTACTTCATGATAACCATGTTGACCAGAATGTAAGCTGCCACAAAATACAGGCTAGTCCAGTTTGATTCTGTTGCTTCCATCACCTAGCGAATGAATACAGACTCAAATATATCAGTTGAAGGCAAAATAACAACACGCTTCTGATTTTGCACTTAGAGCTTACCTAACATACCGTTTCTGTGTGATCATTCAAATGAAAGCTATTGAGCAGTACTTTCATGTGGTACTGTTTATTATGCTGTACAAGGTGGTTCTNTTCTTTTTAAAAACGCGTTAAGATAGACGAGATCCTGAGACGAGAGCCACAAAGTTCCACAAAGTTCCACGGGATCGACAAAGCTCCACGAGGCTCCGAGACGAGAGCAACGAAGTTCGACGAAGTCCCCAGACCAGAGTCACGATTGATAACCGGATCGTTTCACGCCAGAATACCGAAACTAGAAAAATCGGTTTATAACTTAGTCGTGAAGGAATGAGAAAAGGAATACTACATACATCTGTGGTGGAAGGTCTCGGGTCTGAGGGCTGTCTCTCCATGGGTCTGACTTGATGCTGATCCTCGTCCACTGTACCAAGCTTGTTAAAAGCTTCAATAGCAATGGCTACAAACAAACTGGTAAAACAAACAAAAATACGATGCCATAGATTAGATTACAATGAAACGTGTGACATTTAGCCATATCTGACTGTGTATTTCCATTTATTCACCGCCGCGGGTCATCTCACTGATTAGAGAATCATGCGAGTTCCATCTGTAACGAAAACAAAACTTCCCTAGCTTTTCCCGATTTTCACTGATTAAATGAAGAATCCTTCAACTTTACCTCTCGTACAGAAAAATATAAACATCCTATGAAATAAAATATCATAATTATAACAAAGGGGTAAATTTATGAAGTATCCAAAAGTGAACAAAGCACTTACTTCATAATAACCATGTTGACCAGAATGTAAGCTGCCACAAAATACAGGCTAGTCCAGTTTGATTCTGTTGCTTCCATCACCTAGCGAATGAATACAAACCCAAATATATCAGTTGAAGGCAAAATAACAACACGCTTCTGATTTTGCACTTAGAGCCTACCTAACATACCCTTTCTGTGTGACCATTCAAATGAAAGCTATTGAGCAGTACTTTCATGTGGTACTGTTTATTATGCTGTACAAGGTGGTTCTAACTTTTAAGTCTGTGGATAAAACCCTAGTGTGGGACCATCCAAAAGAAAGCTATTGAGTAGTACTTTTATGTAGAACTGTTGTCGTCGTCGACAGCATTTGTCATTTTTGGACATTCTCAAGATGTAGATAGTTCAAATACACTGCAAACATACCGAGTTCATAATCTCATGCCAGTTGCTTGTGGTTACCATCTGGAACAAGATTAGGCAAGAGCACCTGGAGGACGAAAAACATCACTTTCAAATCCGTGGAGTAATACCTTTTTGATCATCACGACGACAATCACAGAGGAACGTATTCACCAAGTAACGAGAAATACCTTAGTAGTGTGACGAGGGATAAAATTCGCTTGTTTTTTGGCCATTTATGAGCGTGCGAGGTTTTTCATTACTTCACAGAAACCTAACGTCAGTACAGCAAGATACATAAAAAGAGGGACTGGAGAAGAGAAAAGGCGCAACTAACAAACCCATCCACGTTTACCATGAGGATGACGATGAGTGACACGCCTATGGCTGGATCCGGGGGAGAGCGACTCCAAATGAAACGGTTAAGAATGCTCGTTGTCTCGCTTAGGGGTGTAAATCACGGTTTTTGGTCTCACTTAGGGTGTTCACGACAAAACGTCACTATTTTTAGTTGTCAAGGTATCTTTTAGGGTGCACTCGAAGAAACAATAGAGAAAAACACTCATATCCGTTTTTAGGCTCGATTTCCACAGGTCTCGCGTCTGGTCTACTACCGCGGGCTCCTTTCCTGAACAGCAGCTGGTAATCAAGCCTATCCAGTTTTAAGTGATATCTCTTAGGAGTCAAATAAAACTTGAGCCACGCCCAGATTGCTCTACTTCAGGGGTTTGATTCACATTTTCCGATGAGCATCCCTGACCTTTTCATGTGGGAGTTCCCCCAGGGGGCTGGGTTGATACAAAGTTCTACGGTGGATGACTCCGGATAACCTGTAAATCATGCTTTACCGGTTTTATGGAACTCAATGGCCATCATCCTATGCAACGGTCTACACAACTGTCTGTCCTTAAAGTGTGGGTCAGAATTACTTACCAAAACGTTTGGAATCCCAACCCACAGGCCGGTAAGTACATGTGACCGTCACTTGTCTCAGGTGCTGCATGAAATAACTCCATTCCTACGCTGGCTAACAAAAATCTGTAAATGATGGGAAAATAACAACGCACAATACTACATCATCTGGACTGATCTGATCTGATCCATTCCGGAGCATGGGCCACTGACAAAACTCCTCCAATCGCCTCTGTTCCTTGCCAGGCGTTCCACCTGCGTCCAAGGGTAGCCCTTCGACTGGAGACTGCGTTATACTCTAATATCATACATGATTACGAAGTAACTCTAAATCAGCCTACCAGAGTCAGAGCTAGGATTTGGTTTGGAAAAACATCTGTGTGTCTTCATACAAAATTTTAGGAAATTCTCCATCAAACGTGCAGTATAACTGAGTTCAACGTTAATAAATCATACAAAAGTCGACACGTTAATTGGCTTTTGGCAAAAGGCCATATTCGTATTCTCGGTATTGGACTGGGACTAGCTTGCAAGTGAGGCTAACATTAATATTCCCCCGCATGAGCCTCCATTGCATGCTAGTTCCAGTCTACCTGACAAAATTATCCCTAAAACGTGCATTATAACAGATTACAACGTTAACAGATGCATCCAAAATTGAAAAAAAAAATCATTGGCCTCTGCTAACTGTAACTTACAATATTATCCCTAAAAGGCACAGAAGGTCCACCATGACAGGTGCAACTCTAAAGAAGATGGAAACTGCTTGTTTGAGCTGTCTGTTGTTGAAGGGAAGCCGACAGAACACAGCCAGGCTTGATAAAGTGGTTACATAGTCTCTGAACCAGAAGAAGTTTGGATAATTGGTGTACCACACAAAGTTAGAAGAGAAAGCTAGCATCACCTAAATGTTCAGAAAAAAAGAAAATATGTAGACACCCATACGATTTGTAAGGTGGCTCATAAATATATAACACCTTTCAGTCTTTGGCATTCTGTGACAACTACACTAATCATATTAGCGAAATGCTCCTAGCATGGCATTTTTACGTCACTATTATAATAAATTAGAAACCATGTGGGAGGGGTTCAAAGCCACGTTATTTATTCATAATCTCAAGGTGACGCGGAATGTTACTTATTGTATTTAGTTCAAAGTGTGTTGAAAAGTACATTTTGATGAGATTATCGATAATGAGAGTTAACTACGAGATCTGCTGTTGGCCAGCGGATGATCGTTGTGGGCATGCGTAGTTGTGACATTGCTGTGCAGTTTTGCCCTCGTGGTTTTGTTCTGCCTTGCTTTGTCGCTTTCAAATACTTTTAGCAAAGTTATTAGCCTCAAAAGGTTCAATATGGTGTGTATTCGACCTCTTTTGACTTTGCCATGGTAACAACCCTTGAGGTCATACGAATTTGGTTAGCTTTAATGGAGTACGTAATCGAAAAGGTCTAAAGTATTATGAGCCACCGTGCAAATATCCAAATGAACAAGGGAAGGGACAGCAGGGGGTAGGCAGAAGAACAACAGCAATGAAATGCTGTATCGCTTACCAGAAAAAGGTCCATTATCTCAAGAGGTTCTAGAATTCGTCTTCCTACAGCAAACAGTCGCGTGGCGCCTTCAAACTAGAAAACACAAAAACACCCCTATAAGGTATATAGATTTGCGGATAAAGCCTCAGTGTGAGACAACTCTATCGAAAGCTGTCTTGCCCACAATAGACAAAGTTTATCTAACAACATAACATTTTGAATTCAAAAACTAATATTTCTAGGAAGATTTAAAGGAAAAGTATGGTATTCCCTAAGACAGGTTAAATGGTTTCTAGGCCAGTAATTTTAAAAAACACAGATGAGTTAGCGATTTTCACCTACACACAAACAGACTTACCAAGAAAACTGTCACAATTATACTCCTGAGCACTGAAAAACGAACCAAAAAATATCAAAGACGTTAACTACAAAATACTTTCCAGAGATGGGAACAAATAAACTAATTACGTAAACGCAGTTTAACATACCTACATATCAATTTAGTTTAAGAATCAGAGCTCAAGGCCAGATGACTCATCCCTCCTACAAGCGGTGATCACACTCTCCCTCCCTCCCTCCCTCCCTCCCTCTCTCTCCCCTCCCTACATCCCATACGCCCACCTTTCAAAAAAAAATATCACAGGTTATCCCTCCTGGTATCTCGGTTACTGCGCATGAGGTAGCTTGGAAACTGGTCACTCCCAAGCNAGTTTTGTAACTTTGCAGTGAGGTTTTCTGTTTATATTGTTTGTCCTTCAGTTTTAAGCATGGGTAACCTCGAATTACACAAATTATATTAACAGTAGTGAAAAAAAAAAAATTTATACAAGAAAAATTAATACTTCGGTTAACTTTTAATCCTGGGTACTAGGGTACTAGGGTACTAGGGTATTAGGGTATTAGGGTATTAGGGTATTAGGGTATTAGGGTATTAGGGTATTAGAGTACTGGGGTATTAGGGTATTAGGGTATTAGGGTATTAGGGTATTAGGGTATTAGGGTATTTGGGTAATAGTGTCTTGAGGTATTAGGGTATTAGGGTACTAGGGTCTTAGGGTATTAGGGTATTAGGATATTAGCGTATTAGGGTACTAGGTCTTAAAGAATTAGGGTAGGGTACTAGGTTCTTAGGGTACTGGGCTTTTAGGGTATTAGGGTACTAGGGTACTAGGGTCTTAAGTTACTAGGGTCTTAGGCTATTAGGGTACTAGTGTCGTGGGGTGTTAGGGTACTAGGGTCTTAGGCTATTAGGGTCTTAGGGTCTTAGTACGGTATTAGAAGTACACCTTTCAATTTGATATATTACGTAAAAGGATTCTACAGGGTTCATGACTGTCAGGTTTAGAAGAATAAAACAAAATAACATCAATTTATCTTCTTAGAATCTTAGTTGTATGTAAGATGTATACAAGTTGCCATCTTTTCAGAGAGAGTAGTAGGGGCATCTAAAATGTAGCAACCACACAGAAAATAAGTAAATGAGAAATTAAGGATTGAATTGTACCTCAGAAAGGGACTCTGCATTCTCTCTGATCCTGATCATCAACTTGGAACGACCTATCTGAAGATTAGGAGCCGCACGAGTAAGTTGATTTTATTGCTGAATTTGTGGGCTGTGTTCACATTTGGTGTCCGAGCACCGACACAGTTTAATAGTGTTGCGTTCAGACACTGGGTACTCAAAGTACCTTGTACCTGGGTACGGGCACTGCGCAGTACTTGGAAAAAAGGTGTGTTCACATTAGTGCCCAGCGAGAATTGTATACTGGCATCGTGCTTGTGTACGGTACCAGTTTTGAACTCCTTGAGCTTCATTCCATCATCAGATCACAGGTTTTATGGTTCGTGGGCTCCGTTGACTGTGCAGGACGTTGCAAGATATATGGCTTCAAGTACGCTACCAAAACCCAACAGGTTTATTATGGCAATAAAGTAACGGAATGTGTGTGCCCCCTTGTCTTAGATGAATTTACACTACTGCGGTTTTTTTGCTTCACGTTCTGAACTGATTGGTATATCACAAAATTTATGACTAGACTGTTCACAGCCCTCTATCTTCTCGTATTTTTATTCGATCGTTGAACGCGCGGATAGTATCGCGAGAGGACAAGTCTATTTATGATCGAAGTGATTCACTTTGTAACAACATGTAACTCGGTTAGACATTTCTTTTCATTGTTAGAAAACTGCTCTGTCCTAAAGCTTACTAATCGGATAGAAAATAGCTTGAAAATGCAGATCGATTGCAGATAACTTCTAAAATAAGTTTAACATATAGCCGACTTACTGTCTCATCTAGTAGTAAGAAGTCATCATCATCTTCAAATTCAAGACTTAGAACCTGCAATGAAATAAAATAACGGTCAAACCTCTCCCGTCCAGACTCAACGGGATCCCAGTCCATAATCTGATTAATCCTTTTATCAAAGAACAGGATTATCGAGGATAAGAAGACTTATGATAGATTGAGGAATACAAATTAATTAAGATATCATTAAAAATGTTCAGTCGTTATAACTAGGTCTACAGGTAATAATACCTGGCTCAGCATGGTCGTCCATTCAAAAGAATCGACCTCTCCATCTTCGTTAGCATCCAACATTTCAATAAGAACTAGGTTCTCTGCCTCTGAATTCTGAACAAAGGAATATCGCAGAGGTAAGTGGGTACACAAAAAATCAAGTTTGCATTCACCCATAGTACTGGCCCATCAGATTAGTACTTTTCTTCTGTTTTCAAAACATGAAGCAAGTCAGCTGTCACATTTCACATTTCTCATTGTGGTCTTGATTCTGTGAAATCATGTCACCTACCTTTGGCTTTAACAGGTGAAACAACATTGTAAATTTTTCATCATCAACACTCAAGGCTCCTAAATGATGACAAAAATACAACAATTACCGTGTAATAATTGGGTACACCTGAATGTTTCAATAAAGATGGCTTTTTTATTAAAAAAAACTCATTTGAACCAGAAAGGGTTCATCGGGATTCTTTCAGAACTTTAATGAAAAGCGGACACCTCGTCTAAATGGACACCAAGTAGTGGATAAGGCCGTACACACGACAGTTAATTACTAACCAATAAATAAGGTATATTTTTTAATCACGTCATTGACTAATTGATTGAGTGATTGAGTGATTGAGAGATTTTTTTGATTGATTGAACACACCTTTTCCAAGAGGATCCAAAAGATTCCAAGCCTTTGCCAATTCTGCTCTTTCTCTGGAACGTTCTTTCTTGACATGCTTCTTAGAATAAACCCTAAACAAAACGAAATACATAAAAAGACAATATTTGTAAAAACCCCTTACATATACAACTAATCTGTATTTAAATTTTATCTGTAAATTGTGTCAAATAAATAGAGTCGATAGAGGGTCCGATAGAGGTATTTTCTTATTCTACAAGATTCTGCATGACCTATCCCTCGCTTCTAATCTAATACAGGATATATATTTGATTCAACTTTTTTAATCCTGTAAATACTTAGCATGATTGAATAGATCTTGTGGTGTTGATCATTGCGTCTTAACGCAAAATATCAATTAGCTTATATTTAACAGCAATAAACAAGTATTTTATTTCGTTAATTTTTGATAAGCTGCTGAAGATGGATCTTTAAAGTCTTGTACCTGATCTGCCAAACTTACCAGTAGCTATCCACCACAATGGCTAAAAGGATTGCAGTTAAAAAGAACACCCCAACAAATACATACAATCCTGCAAAATGAATTAAGAATCATGACGTTACAGGAATTAATGCATTTTATGCCTCATGAACTAAAACACATGACGATATATATAAGTGTAGCACAACAAAATTCTGCATTTCTTTACCAAAATAAATAAAATATGCTGGATCCACCCTCAACGCAGGAAGCATCACTTCCTGTGAAAGCAGAGATAAAAGTAAAAAAAGAAAAAGAAACGTGAGTAAATGGAATTAAAAACCTACAGTAGTTTGGCATTATCTTTGGCTGCTGAACTAGGGATTTAGTAGATGCCATCTTGAAAGTAAAAACTTTGGAACGTTGCATTGAAGAAACATCAAACATGAACTCCACGATTTCATCCATTTACGAAATGGTAGTTTGGTACAACAACCAATACTGCTGGAACAATATGTTTTACAACAATTTTGGGTACTCAAATTCAAACTTTCACAAGCATTTTTATAACTTTCTGGAAGCACGAAGAAAAGAAAAAAACTTGTTTATTTACTAATGTTGTGAACATAGAACTGTAAAGCTTTGCTCACACAGACTTAATGTCAATAGCACATGCTTTAATTCTGTTCTGTTGTAGGGTTACAAAATATGCCTTTTAGCAGATCCAATCCTACAGACTGTCTTCTAATGTAATTCTAATGTAATGTAGTTGTAGATGCGTGCTTTACTGACTGGGAAATTTTCAGTTGACAGCAGGACAAACAATCTAAGCATTCCAATTGCAACATCATCAAAAGCCCTGAAAAGGAAAAATATCAAACAAAACATCTTCAGTGACTTATACATTTTGGTATGGAACTGATATGAAATAATGTTTATTTTATAAAATGTTACTTAGTGGTCGATTAGAACTAGTTTATGCATACCCCTGGTACACTTTTTCTTCAGTCACAATGTAGCATGGAACTGTTTTGCTGGAAATGGAAGAAAATCAGGAAACTGAGTTTGAAGTTGGTGGGCATCTTGACCTGATGCTACAACAAATTGGTTGCTTATGCCCCTAATTTATCTCACGGACTGATAACAACAAAGATGATGAGGATGATGAGAATGATAATGACGAGGGAAAGCACAAAAATCTAGACAATGAGGAGGACTGGTTGACAGTGTCAAGAACAACAACAACAACATGTTACTTCAAAAAAATCTATACTTCCCCCACAAGGTTTCGTCTGGTTTAAATAATTTTGATTACAGCTATTAAAAGGTAAAAATGCTAAAACATACCCATGATNCCCCCCCCCCCCCTTCCCCATGGAAATTTGAGTTTAACATTGGTTTTCCCCTTAATTCCCACCAGAAATTCCAGTCAACCTCAAGGAGTTATTTTCTGGAAACACAACAAGGGAGCAGTGTCAGCACCCTAAATGACAAATTGTGTGTAATTGTAGCAGCATCCTTGAACTTTAGGACGGATCTATTGATACAGTTCCTCTTTTAAAATATTTATTGTTGAGGTTTCTGTTACTTGATTACATGGAACAGTAAATTTTGTTTTGTTCTATACTTTTTGTTTGTTTCTTAACAACAACAACAACAATCTTTATTCACACTATTCAGGTACAAAAGAAAGGTAAGACAAAAAGGAAACTATAGAAAACGTACCTTTCTGAAATTAAATCACTGAGCATAAATCAAAATATCATTTCTCAAATAATTTTGATTACAGCTATTAAAAGGTAAAAATGCTAAAACATACCCATGATGAACAGTTGAGGAAGATGAATTGCCTAATGGTCCATTACATTGATAAGCGTCCATAAGTATGTGAACCCCAATAGAGGCACACAATAAGACAAATACTAAGATTATGAAAAATAACTAAAAACAAAGATAAAAAGATAATAAAAAGTTACTAAAATTAGACATCAAACTTTTATCAAATGTGGTATAACAGCGTAATGACCAAAATTGGTCAATATGTTCAATTGTTATATATACCTTGGATGGTGCAGTGTGCAGCACCATCCAATAAAAACCAAAATATATAACCTTAATTTACCCTTGGCAGTGTCTATAGCACAAAGGCTAGTGGGGCCAAGAAAATAACTGAAACAACCAATTCAAATTCAGCACAACATTGTTAAGAATCCCATGGCTGGTGGCAAACCAGTTGTTTATTTACAAGCGTGGCCAAGGAACTCGGGACTACCATGAAACAAATCCAGGTAGTGGTCAAAGCAGAACCCGAACTTGGGACTGTTTGACTGTGAGTCCAATGCACTGACCATTTGGCTATGCTGCCTCCACAGATTGGGAGGGTACGGTTTTGGCAAAATGTCTTTTAGCTTAATCCAGCGAAAACCTTACAGGTAACATTAAGTCTGCATACAAGCCAAGTTGCTCATCAGGCAAGCTTATCCCGATTTCTGTAGCATGAAGCCACTCAGAATATTTCCACTCTCCCCTGGATGGAAGGCTAGTCCATTGCAGGGTTACCCCCAGCAAATGGGCCAGTAAATGGGCCAGTACCCATTTGTACAGCTGGGTGGAGAGGGGCACTGTGAGAGTAAAGTGTCTTGCACGAGAAAGCAACACAAAGTTCCTGGCCAGGGTTCAAACCTAGACTGCTTGATCTGGAGACGAATGCACTAACCATGAGGCTATGTTGCCTCCACACACAAAAAAAAACTTCAGGCTCACAAATAAAAGAAACAGAAGCCTAGTACATCAGTGCCATTGCAGATTACCCCAGCCGGGTGTGGCTTAAGCTTACACTGACCTCTTTGAAGATACTACACAAAACAATTGTTAACTGTACCTTAGAAAGTTTAAATCCAATTGTCATCAATACCTGGAAATATTTATCACAGCAAATTGTCAAATAGTTACATAAGGCTTAAAGTATAATTCATAACTCTGAACAGCTAGTATGCAGGTTAGCTTTGAATTCCATTCTTTCCTTTATCATATTACAAATCAATCTAACATATCAAATGTGGTTGAAGGCTGTCTGTACTCTTATCAACAACAATAGGCTTCATCACGGTGGTCAAAACATTGTGGACTCACGAAGCACAGCCAAGTGAGTCCACAACAAATTTTGACCACTGTGATGGTACATATCATTATCGATAAGAGTACAGACAACCTTAAACCACATTCAATTTGCTTTTTACCTCAATATCAATGTCAAAGAAAATGTGTTTTTTAGAGGGTGACCAAGAGCGTGACAAATTGACGCAAGCAGAGTTGTGTGGACTCTTATCGACAACAGCAAATTAGTCAATCATACTGTAAGATAAGTAGCAATTGTGGTAAAAAAAAAAAACTATTGGCCAATTCATGCAAGGGAATACTTACATTAAAAATATGTTGGATATTCTTGACTTTGCACAATATAAGAGCTAACCTGAGGGACCTAAAAACCTGTGGTAGATACTGGGAGAGAGAAAAAGAGGAGTTACGAACAAGATAAATGTAAAATTAATTTTGTGATAATAATTATACACAATTATTATTAAATACCAAAGGCCAGTCAAAAAAACTTCTGTGAAGTATATAGCCTGGGTCTAATGAATACACTAGTGTATTGCACATTGGATAAAGATGTCCTAATGGACTAAAATTGTTCAGTGACATGCATATAGTTAATTAATTTTGTGATAATATTATACACAATTATTATTAAATACCAAAGGCCAATCAAAAAAACCTCTGTGAAGTATATATATAGCTTGGGTCTAATGGATACACTAGTGTATTGGACATTGCATAAAGAAGTCCTAATGGACTGAAATTGTTCAGTGACACGCATATAGTTGACCAGCAGGGTATGACATTTGCAGACTGGAGACTACATTCAGGTTTAGATAGTACTCTGGTTAGCCTGAATATCATGACTCAGGTTACCCTGTTTATGGTTTAAGGTTACAGTATACCTTCAGGGGTGTCTCGCGCGCAAGCGATGTAGCGCGTGCAGTTTAAGCTGTAGATACTTAAACCCCTATATCAAATTAAAGCTTATGGAGCTGGCTATCAAACTATACCAAGAATTTTGAAAGAAAATGAATTGTCGA